TCACTCTGGTGCCATTTTGGAGAATATCCACTGAACGTAAACAGCGTATGCTATTCTGTGTCAGCTGCACTATTCTGTTGTTTGATTTGAACGAAAACAACGTATCCGCGTGACGCAGCTGACACAGAATAGCATTTTTGCCGTTTACGTTCAGTGGATATTCTCCAAAATGGCACTACTGGGTGATGCGGAGAGGACGAATTGTTAAATAAAGTACAATCTAAAAAATGCTTTTTTAAATAAAAAAATTTAACCCAACAGCTGGGTTAGTCCATATTTGACCCAATGTTGGGTTGAAACAACCCAGCATTTTTTAGAGTGTTGTTATTTTTGTTTTCTTTGCATACAAAAAGTATTCTCGTAGCTTCATAAAATTACGGTTGAACCCCTGATGTCACATGGATTATTTTACCGATCTCCTTGCTATGTTTCTGGACCTTGATCGTGGTAATTACATTGCTGTCTATGGGAGGGTCAGAGAGCTCTCAAAATTCATCAAAAATATCTTAATTTGTGTTCCTTAAGGGTTTAGAACGACATGAGGGTGAGTAATTAATGACAGAATTTTCATTTTTGGGTGAACTAAATCTTTAACTACCCCTAAAAGGCTTTTAGGGCTTTTTTACTAGTAATATGCACCTTTTAGGGGTAGTAAAGGTACAATATGGTCCCTTTAAGGGTACCAGTGACAAGCTGTTGTACCCCTAAAGGAAACATTTTTGTCCTGACAGTGTTGCTCAGTGGTATAGTATGTGCATGAAGGGTTAGACCATATCTTATGTACATTGTCTCCTATCTGCAAATATCTGTATGCATTTGATGTTGGAGAGGGTTAAAAAGAAACAGAAACGAGTTATTAAAAAACTACAGTTACATAACAGTATTTAAGATGACGACTGCAGGGGCACTGAGACGTTTTACTTTTAAATTTGATAGGCACTGTATATGGGGAGAACAGGATTTGGAAATGATGAGCCGAACTCGAATTTATATTACCTACATGAGCACTACATAGAATAACCATTTTGGGTTCTTCTATGTAGTGTGAAGAACATTTGAATAATTTAAAGAACCTTGGACAACTAAAAATTAACCTTTTGTGCAGTGGAAAGTTTCCACAGATGTTAAAGGTTCTTCATGGATCCCTAGAAGCCAGCTGTGTACAGTGCAACATCTCAGAGCACATGCACTGACAACTATATCACAGAAATATCTTGTAACGATTACAGTGATTGCCTTAGTATCTGAGATCAGCTCAGTAAAAGTGGGAATATCCTGTCTGATGACATGCACACATTGAGGGGAGGAGAATAGAGAGCATGGCTGAGGGCCTAACCGCAATATCTAAATATTGACTGTACAACGTGTAATCATGTTTGGTCTGTGGACAGGGTGAAAATAAACACCAGTGTGTGTGTATGTCTGTGTGTTCTCTCATCCCATAATAGAAACAGCGCAGACATGCCTTTTCAATATGTTTAGAGCACTCATAATTAAACATGCACAAATCATTAAAAGGATTAGAAGAGATGTATCTCATCAAGACTTAATGTGCTGTGTTTGCCATTGACATTTGCGTATGGAGCATATAGAGCATATGGAGCTCATCAGAGTGGTCCTTTGCATTGCAATTGCTTGTGGTTTCAATGCATACTGATATAAATCTTTTCATGTGGGTGGTCTTGGAAATGGGAAGACCTTCTGCACTGAAACAACAACATAAAACATTTTACTTTCATTCAATTTCATCTCTGTCGTCATATCTTCATAATTCACCCTTTGCGGTGGGTAACAGCTTTCCCTGATCCTTCCAGTGCTGGAATGTCAAACATTTCTAGAATAAAAAAAAAGAATTAAAAACAATAATTTGGCAGAATAACACAACAAAACTTTGGTAACACTTTACTTGAAGGGGTGTGCATAAGACTGACATGACACCTTCATAATCATGACATGACACGTGTCATGAATATGAAGGAGGGTTTATGCATGTTTATGACAACTCTCATTAAGTGTCATTCGCTCAGTTATGTCATTTTTAATGCAAATATGACATTATCTGACCTAACCCTAACCTAACCCTACCCCTACCCTTACCCCTAAACATAGCCCATAACAAAGACATCTCAAACAATGTCATCTTTGCATTACAAATTACATAACTGAGCGAATTACACTTAATCACAGTTGTCATAAACATGCATAAAAAACCTTCATATTCATGACATGTGTCATGTCATGATTATGTAGGTGTCATGTCAGTCTTATGCATACCCCTTCAAGTAAAGTGTAACCAAAACTTTTAAGTAACTTCAACATTCCCTAACAATACTGTTCTTGTAGCACAAGGAACATATCTAAAATATGGAATCTAATTAAATTAATTTATAATTTACTTAATTTCTCTAAAATAACAATACACTACTTCAAGAATAATGTCCTGACCATTAAATGTCAACATTCAAAATTCTTTACTTTCAGCTTTAAATAGTATATTAACTAGTTTTATAATCATGTCTGAATCCCTCCCCCAACAATGGATATACATAATATTAGCCTAAATAAATAGTATAAGAAAGAAGTTTACAAGGAACCTTTTGAAGTGGATTATAAAATGTAGTTAAATTCAATCTAACCATTTATAAAGCATTTTTTCAAGCATTTTCCTATCCTGTTTGCTCATGGACTGAAAAAAAGGTCTATATGGCAAAATGGATGATTAATTGTGATGTGAATGAAAGTTTTGGGATTACGCCATAATGCTTAGCCTAAATGGCCCATTAATTCTGCCCTGGCACTGAGACTGAGAGGGAGAGACAGGGAATAAGAGAGAGACACGCCATGTTATTCTTCTGCTTTAACTCCTTCCAATGAGTTTTGGAGAGACTGAAAGGAGGAGCGCGAGGGGGAGCATGTGGGAAGAAAAAGAGGGCGAAGAAAGGAAAAAGAAGAGGGGGAATATAAATTAGCCGAGAGACAATTGAGCAAGAAGAGGGAAAACTGAGATCAGACTGATTGTAAGGAGAGCGTCAAAATGTGGGAATGACGCTAAAAGTTATACATGCTCTTAAACGGATAGTTCACCCAAAAATGAAAATTTGATGTTTATCTGCTTACCCCCAGGGCATCCAAGATGTAGGTGACTTTGTTTCTTCAGTAGAACACAAATGAAAATTTTTAACACAAACCGCTACAGTCTGTCAGTCATATAATGGAAGTGAATGGGAGTCACGGCTTTGAGTAAAAAAAACATACACAAACAAAACCAAATGAAACCCTGCGGCTCGTGACGATACATTGATGTGTAAAGACACGAAACGATCGGTCTGTGCAAGAAACTGAACAGTATTTATATAATTTTTACCTCTGATTCACCGCAATGTTCTCAACTGTCCTGAGCACGTTCTCAACAGCAGGCACGTCTTCTTATAAGTGCATTACCGCCTACAAACGTGTGCATTACAAACGAAGATTTTTAACTCAAACCGTTGCAGTCTGTCAGTCATATAATGGAAGTGAATGGGAATCACGGCTTTGAGAGTCAAAAAAACAGACTTAGTGAAAGTAAAAGTGCATTACCGCCACCTATCTCTCAAATGGACCATATCTACAATCTCAATTAGAAGTGTCAATGGTCCATCTGAGAGATAGGTGGCGGTAATGCACTTATAAGTCTGCAATTTGTTTGTGTGTTTTTTTGACTCTCAAAGCCGTGATTCCCATTCACTTCCATTATATGACAGACAGACTGCAACGGTTTGTGTTAAAAATCTTCGTTTGTGTTCTACTGAAGAAACAAAGTCAGCTACATCTTGGATGCCCTGGGGGTAAGCAGATAAACATCAAATTTTCATTTTTGGGTGAACTATCCCTTTAATCATTTTGTTATATACACATCTTCATCCGCCAAGGGACAGTTCACCCAGAAATAAAAATGTATTATTCACTTACCCTCATGTACTGATATTTTTTATCTATTAAACACAAAAGTTCACTTTTTCAGAAACTTTGTGCAATAGTTTTATATATATATATATATGCTGTTATTGTATGTTTTAGGCAATCCTTCGGCAGTCTTGTACCCTAATAAATTTGTTGCAGCATCGCCCTCTAGTGTGCAAACTGAATAAAACATGCTTCTCCTCGCAAGGGAAAGGCTCCTGTAATTCTGGTAATAATAAGCCTGTGACATGCATAGCTGTTCAGCAGACTAGAGATTATGTTGACGCAAACCTGGAATAAACTGATAAATCATATGCAACAGATCATAACTGGATATTCCACATAAGAAAAACCGGCAGATATCATGAGTCAAAAGAAAGTCAACTTCTATCATTAGCTACTGTCATTTATTTTTAAGACAGCATGTTATTTTGTTATACAATCAACAGACCTGAATTTTGCTAATGATGGATGGATGGATGGATGCCATTACTGTCTGTGAGGTTTGCATTTCAGTGAAGTAACACACGACCAGTGCATACAGACATCATAAATCCCAATGATATTTTCATTTAATCAAAATGTTACCCAGTTTCTATCCTCTGAAATGTGTGAGCAAGATGAAAAATGCATTAAACTATCAACCCAAAATACTTTGTTTTGATAATTTTGGAAAATAAACAGTTATATTGAACTACATTCCAGTGGGATATACAGAACTACAGAAGCAGCTATATAAAGTGACAAAGGCTGGTTAGCCCTGGATTATGCAAAAATAAGATCAGTCTTTAAAAATAAAGATTAAAAATTAACATTCAATGAGATTCACAAGAAACACTTTTGTGTGATCTAGTCTGGCTAAATAGTGGTAAGACTAATTCTTATTGTATCAATTACATTAGGTTTAAAAAACATAAAACTTAACATAAAACTTATTCTTCTGTCATTGAGGGAGGATTGGATTTCAAAATGTGCACACTGTAAATGCAAATGGTTAACTGTTAAAACAAAGGCACATGACTAATAAACTGAATGAAAAATAAAAACCAAGGGTCAGTAACATGACCTTCACACAAAAGCCATTTGATTCATTAAAACAGCATTTTATCAAAGCCTTTTCAAGACTCAGTAAAAGGACCAACACAGATGTTTGGGGCACAAGCCAGCGCCTATAGATGCAGAGGTCTGCAAATTCAATTTCTTCAATAGGAAATCATAGATTTAAGGCAACATTTCTTTGTCCAAAGGAAAATTCTTGACGTGTTAAGGAAACGCACATTTGTTGAATAGATAACACAAAAAAAAATGTACTTCATTGTCAATCTTGGTGATTGTGCTATAAAAACACGCCAACTCTACTGCTCATGCTTGCTGTGAAGCGATCTGTGCTACGGAGGTGCCATGGCATTTCACCATCCCTCACTGGTGTGAAATCAAAAGGAGCGAAACTCTGAAGTTCAGTGGGAAATCTCTCTTAAATCTTCAACAAACAAAAACCTTGGATTGTTCACATTATGGAGAGAAACTATGGTCTGTACTGCAAATCTCCAGCTGTCTTCTTTTCTAAAGATTGTAATGCGTTGAATGCGTAGTTTGCAAGTGACTAAGAAAAAGACTGAAGCAAGAGTGAATCCCTAATGCGAATGGCAACAAAGGCGAGGAGGGGAAAACCACTTTGGTCCATGCATTATCTAACTGTAATATTTTTCAAATGGAGAGCACCCTTTTTTCTTCTTTTTATGTTTGTAAAAGTCCTGCCTGCTTTCAAAGCACAGGGCTAGTATTCACCTCCTCTGCCTTTCTACCCATTCTCTCTCCAAAGAACCAGATGAATGCTATGGTCGGGCATGCTGGTGGCGAACACCAGGCCCGCATCGTTCTTGCCGTCCAGTCCGTTGAGCCAGGAGGTGACGCCCGGTAAGAAACTAGAGCCTCGTTTGGATTTGCGGTAGGCTGGCAGTGGCCAGCGACCCACAGTGACCTCAGTCCTCAAGTCCATAACATAGAGGTGGTGGTTGTCAAAGAGCAGAGCAAAGACCTTGCCGAAACCAAGCAGAGAGAGGCTGGAGGGGTCCTGCTGTGGTTTGATGACTCTGTGAATATTAAAGGATCAGTCAATTAAAAACAAATACCTATCTTTTAGTAAAACAATATATAGTTGCACAAATCTGCTTATTTGATTTTTGATCTATAAATAGTGCCAAATATTTCATAACATTTCCATTTTAACTTATAGATTTAAATGGAAAAATAAATCTTTTAAAAAAATTAGTTTGCTCTCTAAATAAAAATATTCGAACATTCAAAGAATCGTTGATTCAACAGGGTTATTGGCAGCTTGGTTAAACAATTAAGGGGCAGAAATTAATGTACCTGATGACATCAAAACTTGCGAAGTCCCACTGGTATATGCCCAAGTCTGAACTACAGACAATGTACCGGCCGTCAAACTGTAATCGTGGCTGCAAGCAGACACTGCGGTCTTCTGACACGGATAGAGTCTTTAAGCACTTACAGTTGATCTCACAGCCTATTGGCCACACCTATGGATAAACAGAATCAGATAAATACTGAATACATATAAAAGTCAGAATATCACATAACTACATCAATGCAACTAAGGGTGTTGCAAAATATTGGTTTTAACGATAACTGTGATATCTGTGATAAAAAAAAATATATATATTGATATTATGTTAATACTACACACATGATAATATTGCAAATAATCCAGCAGCTTGGTTGACACTCAAGCACAGTATTGCACCTAAACACTGGTTTCCACCTGTCATAAAATTGAAAAAAAAGATGACAACACTGTTTATCTACTGCTGCCGCACAAAATCATGTCGGAAAAGATCACAGGCACAAGCACACTCTTCCCCCACAAGTTAGTTTGCCAGTGTGGGAGTTTTTTTGGATTCCGTAAAAGGCAGTGTGTTAATGTGCGGTCACATTAGCACAAATTATGTGGATTTCAGCAAGTTGCAGATACAGAAAGTAGTTGGTAGGTGGGCCGGCTCAATTTAACAAAACAAAAAAGATGGACTGATCCGCATTGGAGACGGATTACAATCCGATAGCGCAAATCACTTCAGGAGGTGGCTTGAGACGCACTCCAGACACAAATGTCTGTGTAAATACATCGGGTTGTTGAACCACATTTGAATTTTGCTCCTCCAAAAGATGTGGCAGCGTGTTATATTGTCTCCAGATACCACTGCGCTACTGCAACACTCATCTCCACAAATATTACCCGCCGGAGATGAACGTTTATCACGGGGCTTCACGGGGCTTATTGCTTTTATAAAACGGTATATACGTAGTAAGGTTTCACAAAATAAAACCGAGCAAATAAAGTGTAATGACATTAATAAAAACAGTATTTTTCCACCAAACAATGTAGTTCCTCAGAATCAGTTGTGGTTGCAACAAAGAGGTTGCCAAGCAAAAGACAAACGTAAACAAAGGTGTATGTTTGTAGAGTAATTTACAACAACTTCGAACGTGGCTCAGCCAATCAGAATCAAGGACCGGAACTATCCGTTTTATACATTTTTATTTACAATGGGTTTTTGTAGCATTGAGCAATGTAGCCAATCACAGACATATCTGTTAATTTCTTGAACACCTGTGCTTAGGGCTGAAACGATTAGTCGACAACACTGGCAATGAAAAATTGTTGACAAATATTTTTGTTGTGGATTGAGTCGTTTGATCTCATATGACCTAATGTAAGAGCCTGCAATAACGCGGTTTGACCAGTGTGGCGCTGTAGTGCAAAACCTGTCAGCAGTTTTGTTTGACATCTGGACATGCCTAGCATAGTCATGATGAGTAGCAGACTACGGTGTTTTTATCATAAAATTATGTAAAATAACTGTTGCAAACTTCACCACAACAAGAATAGCAATGCACAGTGAGAGAATTGCCAGATTTACAATTACTTTTACAAATAATTGCAACCGCCTTTCAAAAATATTTTGATATGAAACTTCATATATTTTTCAATTAAAGGCAGGGTATGTGATTTTTCAAAAACACTTAAGAAAACTGATTCGGGCCGAATAGTAAAAAAACAAACTTGTAGCCAATCAGCAATAAGGGGCGTGTCTACTCGTCTCGTAATGTGGAGGAGAGAGCTTTCAGTGCATGGGACGGACATTAGTCGAGCAACAGAAAGATAGAGATGGTGGATAAAAAAACAAAAGAGGAAAATGTCTGCAGAACGATAAGGCAAGAAGTAGGACCCGTGTAAATATCGGATCAGCTTTCCAGCGCTGGAGAGAACTCAAGGAGCGGAGGCCTGAGATCGGACGCCGAGGTTGCTTTGTTTCTTCTCAATGGGTGAGTAACACCGTGTCTACAACAGCTAAAGTCTGCCTACACTGGACGCGATCAAACGACCGTTGAAAACCATTTGAAATTTGTGTCAGCATGTCATAAATAGAACCCGGCAGCAGTTTTCTGCCGGATTTGTTGCGCCGCACTGCTCACGTCCGTAGACATGGTGTAACATTGGTTTTGTTTTGTTTCACAGAACTAATCGTTGCCTGGGTTGCTTACGTATATGTGGGGCGGAGCTATCAAAATAGGGGCAAGACACTTTTGGGGTAGGGGCGTGTTTGTTTTGGTGATTTCAAATATCGACATTGGCTAAAAGAAATCACTTACTCTGCCTTTAATCTATTAGTAATCCAAGCATTAATCTATTCAATCTAAGCAATTTGCATTGCTTAATGCACATCTATTTAGACAAATTATATTTTTTCCCCATCCATTGATATGTTTACCTCAATCATTGCCATTTCAAAAGTGAATCCTGCATTTATATGAGGGATGAGGCATTTATATATCACTCCGGAAACTTTTCTGCATGTACAAGAAATCAACAGATATGTCTGTGATTGGCTACATTGCTCAATGCTACAAAAATACGTTGTAAATAAAAACTTATAACACTCTCCAGAGTGCAAACACTTATGCACTGGAGAGTTTGCCAAATCTCTTTCGCCAATATCCTATTATTATAGTTTCAACCGAGGGTGCTCTTGCTTTCATTTGAGGGTCATTTTCACTGCGTGAGAAAATGGATGTATGGCGTGAGAGCATGAGAACAGTCTCAGCTGCGTGAGTCTCAAGCCAAACGAGTGAGTCAGCCCTTGTCAGACAGACTATCAGATAGATAGTTGGCAGCCCTGCTTAAAAGCTATATGATATAAAATTAGCAAAGCTTTCTATCTATCTATCTGACTGGGCTGCCAATTCTCACTCATTCAGCATGAGATTCATGAAATTGACACTGTTCTCACGCTGTCACATCACACATCCATTTCATTTTCTCACACAGTCAAAAGCACCCTCAGTTAAAACTGTAATAATAGGATATTGGCAAAACAGATTTGGTAAAGGCTCCAGTGCATATTTGTGTTTGTGCTCTGGAAAGCATCAAAAATGTCTATTTACATGTTTTTGTAGCATTGAGCAATGCAGCCACATGTCAGACATATCTGTTGATTTCTTGAACACCTGTGATTGGCCATTGTGTTCAAGTTAGTCAGAATTCACTCACCTCTAAACGCCGGATTTTTCCTGCACACTCGCGAATCCTCTCATCGTAACAAGGTATACACATGATGTAAATAAGAGCTTCATTGATTATAATGGAACACTGTGAGATTGCGATAAAAGTTAAGTGAGTGACAGCTTTTTTGTTAGTGATTAAATGGCTACATATAATCCATTCAGAATCTGAATGCAAGTTTTGATTTTCCCGCTACTAACAGGACCAACGACCACATACCCTGTACATGCAGCAAAGTTTCAGGAGTGACATATATCCCTAAACAATTGCAATGCAAATACTGCATAAAAAGACAAAAAAAATGATCGCATATTACCTTACCTTGAATGATTGATGTCTATTCTAAACAAGTTGAAGTCGTCTGGGTTTTGAATTTAAGATGTTCAATAATTTCATCATAATCCAAATTTTCTTTTAGTACTGATGGCTGCTTTTATTATAAACATTCAAGGGAGCTGCTAATTGGAATTCAGACAGACAGAGCTATTGGTGTGAAGAACATAATACTACCGGCGTTATGTAACTGAAGATACTAATTAGTTAAGTAGTTATCTTTTTATGCTTTTGTTTAGTTATGGTTACAAACTCTCTATGTGCCACCCTACACTCATGTTTTGAGTGTGATTCACAGGACAAAAACAAAAAAACTAAAAGTTAAAGATTAATTAGAACAGGATTATTTGTTACTTTTCTCTTCTTCTATTTCCCCCCCCCAAAAATTTCAATAGGTACTGCAATTGCATTTTTATAGTGAATTCTTTTGGCAAACATAATAGCATAATGAATCTAATATTCACCCTAAATCCAACAATGAAAACGTGTGACTAGCTTAAAGACACCTTTGTGTTTAATTGTTTTAAATATCAAACTCCACAATGAACAACACTTTGAAAATATTCATGGAACTTAAGAATACTTGTACAAATGATTTACATTACCTTTATTTCATACTTATCGACACTCAGTAGAATGTAGTCACCAGGACTGTGCATCATGGACTCCACTTGGCTTTTTTGAAGGTGCACCTAAACAAGCACAGATGTACCATATAGGTGCACAGTTAGGAAAACTGATCTCCAACTACAAAATTAAAAAAAGCAGCTAAATAATACATTACAATATTGCATAATAAAGTCTGGTCAAGAGTCTTACCTTGGTGACCCACTCTGTGTGTCCAGTAAGAGTGTTGACACAGGTTCCCGAAGACAGGGACCAGACTTTTACAGTGAAGTCTGCTGAGCCGCTGACCAGGGTGTCCAAGTCATCATTGTAGTCTATGCTGAATACTGCAACAACAGCAAATCTTTAGGACTATGCATAAGCTATGTCTTGATGTCATGACAACCATGAAGCAAAAACAACTATTAACGTTCATTTTCTTTGTGCCACTAGCAGGAAAAATGTTGAGAACTTGACACTAACCCGCCCCAGTATGTCCTCGGAATTGCTGGATTTTGGCACCAGTGCACCATTCCCAGCATGCAATGGTGTTGTCAAAAGACCCCGTCACCAGTTTCTGCTCATCAAATTTGACAGTGGCACAAGTGTGGGTCTGGATGCCGTAGACGCATTGCCCTGTGCGGACATCCCATAGTTTGGCTGACAGGTCATCAGAACCTAAGGGAAAAGGTGTCTTTGATCAGCGCACCACAAAACATGATCTTAATTTAAAACGAGTAATATCTTAAGTCTTTTACTCATACTACTCATACAAATAGTGCTGACGTACATCAGAAAACAAAACCAGAAATAGTAACGCCAACTATAATTATGGTGTTTCAGGGTTTGTACAACCTTTCTAAGGAAGAAAATGTATGCACTTCATTGACTTTCAAGCTTTTCACACAACTATTTCCAGCACTTTAAAGCTCTAAAAATGAGTACATTTAAATGTTATTTTTAATGGGATGACCAAAATATAAATTTATGGTAAACAAACACTTACATAAAAAAAAAATACATCAAGTTACCACTATAACCAGTAGATGGCATTTCTACTTTTTGCTTTATATTTTGAAACTATAAAATCATCAAGAAATCAAAATTTGTTAACGTTTTGCACTTTTTTTTTTGTGTATGAAGAAAGAAAAGTCACAAAGTGCCTTAAAAAAAACTTTCTTCTGTAACTGAATCACACATAAAGAGTGTTCCTTTTATAATCACTGAAGCTATCGGTCAGTTCTGTATAATACTATAGAAGAATATTGGTACATTTAATAAGAGTAGAATATATTAATTTTCTATATAAAAATTTGATTTTGCATGTTACTGTTGTTAATAAAAGTACATTTTGTATGCTTAGCAAACTCAAGCTCAGTGCTTTACAGTCAAATGTGTATTACCAAGAAATAAACATGCAATATTATTAGAAACTGCATTTATTATTAATGCAAAACAATAGTAATTGTATTATTAAATTATCTTTATTTTTAATACACTGAATGCAGGCTTGAAGTCAAATAAAAAGCAAAAAAAAAAGGGTAGTGGTGGAAAGGATTGAAGTCGTCTGTTGCTTCACTGGAGGATTGAGCTATAGAAACTGGATTAAAAATAACAAGCTCAATGCAGAAACATACAGTGGGGCAAAAAAGTATTTAGTCAGCCACCAATTGTGCAAGTTCTCCCACTTAAAAAGATGAGAGAGGCCTGTAATTTTCATCATAGGTATACCTCAACTATGAGAGACAAAATGAGAAAAAAAATCCAGAAAATCACATTGTAGGATTTTTAAAGAATTAATTGGTAAATTCCTCTGTAAAATAAGTATTTGGGCACCTACAAACAAGCAACATTTCTGACTCTCACAGACCTGTAACTTCTTCTAATAGATAATCCTAGATTCATCTATTGTGAAGTAGCACACCAGATTAAACTTTTCTGTTAATTCTATATACCTACATTTAGCTGTATTACTATTATTACTATTTATTTACCTGTATAACAATGCTTGTTGGTATATACATTAATACTTTTTAAATACTTTTATTCAGCAAGGATCCATTAAATAAATGGTTTTCTTATGACCTTTCTATTCATCAAAGAATGAATACTTTTTTTACTGAGCATCAAAGTGTTAGGCTAACCGAGACTTGTCACGGCACTTACATATTATTGCCCTTGCACAATTGGTGGCTGACTAAATACTTTTTTCCCCACTGTATGCATGGACGAATCATTCACAACAAGATCAAAGAGATGCATTTAGAAATTAGACCGGGATAGGAATTTCAAGCCAACTTTAACATCACAACAGATCTCCTTTTGATCACAAAACCAAGAAAGACAACTATAAAAAGTAATGCACCTGTGCAGAGGAGCCCATCCCGGTAGTAGAGAGCATATACCCGAGCACTGTGTCCAATGAGAGAGCTCGTCTCAAAAGCATCCTCCTCCCTTAGCTGCTTCATGCGCAGTTTGGCCTTTAGATAAACACCTTTCCAGTGTGTCGCATCCTGGATGGACTCATCGATGCGCCAGCCAAGGTCTCGACACACGCTCTGCCACACTTCTGTACAGGCATTGATGACTTTATTCCACTGCTTGCACACCAGACAGCAGGTGAGCAGGGTTTGGGGGTCCAGCCAGCGGAGCAGGTAGAAAGCCAGCTCTAACGGCAGCAGGCGCAGGAAATCCCGCTTCAGCAGCGCTTCCAGCCTATTGGACAGGTGTCGCAGTTGGGCAGCACCGCTCAGTGAGATGAGGTGGTCCAGCGATTGGTTGCGCTGCTGGTCACTTAGCGCCAGGAAGGTGGTGGAAACTGACTCCAGCCACCCCTCGAAAGCCGCCTTTTCCATGGGCACATGAGGGCGTCTACCTGTTGACACAAACCGGTCAGATCAGACTACACTGCATTTGAAAAGCAATGATGTGGGATAAACCGTGCCTTTTATACAGAGCCATAGGTTGTTTGCAATCACGTGATTCTGATGACGCGCAAAATGCAGCTGGAGGGCAGAAAGTGATTTTTCACCATAGAAATCACTACCAGAAATTCAAACTGCCTGTGTTTTGTGTTGTTTATGGATGCTCAAATAGGCCAAACTGATAAACCACACGGAGCCAAGAAGTCAAAAGTCAAGAAATTGCCTGAAGAAAAAAAACGCAGGAAAAAGTGGCTTGTAAACCTGCGTCTGCGGTCGGGAGGAGCGAAGCCGGATAATGCTTGTGCGTGTAAATGGTTAATATAAGATAATATATTAAAATATTAATAAAGAAATTTATAAATGGATACAGGGTGACAGTCAGAATTCACTGAATGCTAAACGCCACACATAGACACGATGTAAATAAGATATTATTGGCAGTTCTGAGAGCTTCATTTCACGGAATCGTGAGATTGCGATAAACTGAAGTAAGTGACAGCTTTTTAGTGATTAACATTAGATGAAAGCGCTATTTGCTCGCTTTCTATGCTATAATCGATTCAGAATTTAAATAAAAGTTGTTTTACGTGCTGCTAACAGGACCAACAGCCACATACCCTGTAACTTACATGCAGCAAAGTTTCAGGAGTGACATATATTCCACATCCCTCATATAAATACGGGATTCACTTTCGAAATAGCTTGTTTACAATCAGGGTTGCTTAGCCTATATCCCCCGCCTCAATGGCACGAAAGTATTTCAATTTAGTTTAAAAATCGCTCCTCTTTATAACAAGGATCACGTCCAATATGTGTGGCTGTTGGTCCTGTTAGCAGCACGTAAAACAAAACTTTTATTCAAATCCTGAATTGATTATAGCCTGCCTAGAAAGCGAGCAAATAGCGCTTCCATTTAATCACTAAAAAGCTGTCACTCACTTCAATTTATCGCAACCTCACGATGTTCCTTTATAATCAGTGAAGCTCTCTGAACTGCAAATAATATCTTATTTACATCGTGTCTACGTGTGGCGTTTAGCACCGAGTGAATTCTGAATGCGTGAGAGGTGGCAGCCCAATCTATATATTTCTTTATTAATATCTTAATATATTATTATATCCCATAATAACCATTTGCACGCACAAACATTATCACACGAGCTTCACTCTTCCTGACCACAGACACAGGTTTACAAGCCACTTTTTCCTGCGTTTTTCAATCAGTTTCTTGACTTTTCCCCACTCATGAACAACACATTTTTGAACACGATAAAAGCTCCTTGTGCTTTCTCGGTTTGGCCAATTTAAGCATCCATAAACAACGCAAAACACTGGCATCTGCTTGTGATTCCTATGGAGAGAAAAATCACTTCCTGCCCTCCAGCTGCATTTCGAGTGTCATCAGTGACGTCATGTGCAAACAACCTATACTACTATGGCAACCCGTTTTAGCATTTAAAAGTTTGTTTTGACTATCCATAAATATCATTTAAGATAGGAACAATTGTATTTTGACAAGTCATAATTATAATTCGACTAGTCACAATGACAATTAGAGATATCTGCAATTATAATTGCACTAGTAAGAAATTGGATTAGAGATATCTCTAAATACACAATTAGTTCTGGTACTATGAAAAGGTTCCTGCGGTGCAAAAGGCCCTATTATAGCAAGAGATCCATGATGATGATTTTCTGCTGTGTTCAATGATGAGCGCCAATGTATTCTTTTAACATTATATCAAATGTTGCAACAGCTGACATGAGGCCTATACAAATCCTTAACTACTGATTTTATATGTGTTCGTTTGTAAATAAAGGCTAACACAATTTAACCCACAGCATAATGTATCTATCTGCACACACACACACACACACACACACACACATATATATATATATATAACGAAAAGAACAAACTAATATTTATAAAAAAATTAAAAATAAAAAAAATATCATTTTAGAGGAGGTAAGTGAAAAACAGCCAGAAAGCCTGTGGTGCATATGGTAGTATCCTCACCAGTGTTGGGGGTAGTAACGCATTGCAAGTAATGCAAGTTATGTAATCAGATTACTTTTTTCAATAAATAAATACTGCAAATCTGTTGAAGCTGCATTTCTACAACTAAAATGGAAAGACATAATGTCCCTGTCGCTGAGTAAATGAAAGTGAATGGAGTGTTTTCACATGGTATTTTGCTATTCAGCCAAACAGTTCTTCGGGGAGAGATTCTAGTGGTGATAATTTTCCAACTCAGTAAAGAAGATAATAAAAACATTTCTTGGTAAACTGCAACTTTAAAAAGACCCATTAGGCTAATATAACAGTGCTTTCCTTTTAATGACTTTTCCTTTTTTTCAGCCTCTTGTTACCTTGTTTTCATCAAAGACATTGAAGACAAAGGTGGCAAATTTGGTGGGATCACCGAAGGGGAAGAATTGCTTGTAGATCTTCTGAAAGCCAGCTACGTCCAACTGACCACTGGGGCAGTCTTTGATAAAACCCTTATACCTGCCACACATACAGGAAAAATCAAACAAGATCGGAGTGAGGAGGCAGGATTGAAGGAAAAAGAGAGACTGTATTTTGTATTTAAAGAATTTAGATTTTTATTTACTAAAGTTTTTGAAAATAATAAGATTTAGACATCATAGAAGATTATAGAACACACAAATATACACAATTTTTTCAAAGGTTTGGGGTCAGTAAAGAAATTGATACTTTTATTCAGCAAGGATGCATTACATTTATGCGGAAAAATTACAATTTTCAGCAATTTTCAACTGTGATAATGATTTTAAAAAATGTTTCTTGAGCACCAAATCAGCATATTGACATTAAAGACTGGAGTAGCTAATGGCTGCTGAAAATTCAGCTTTGCAATCACAGAAAAAAACTACCTAAAAATATTTAAAATAAATTAAAATTTTAAATTATAATGGCATTTCACAATTTATTAATTTTACTGTATTTTTGATCAAATAAATGTGATCAAAACAGATGTGGTGTACACAAGAACCATTTTTCAAAAATGCTTACTGACACCAAACTTCTGAACACTGATGTAGAAGAAATGTATAAACTACCAGTGGAAAGGGAAGTGGGGAAAAAAATAATCAACATTTAAAGAGGTATCATATGCATTATGCTTTTTCTCCACCTGAAGTCAAAACACAAGACATTTTTCCTCCAGTATATACCCCCCTGTGAAAATAAAGAGTCTGACTCTGGCACCAGCTGTTAGCACCGAAATGCACTACTAGCAGTGTTACAGAACATGTAGTCAGGGTATTTCAGGATAAATGAAACCTCTGTCACTCTATCCAGCAATTTTCAGAAACAACACATCAGCGCTGTTTGTTTTCTGTATGCTAATTGATCCCTGACAAATCTGAGAACTATCATTCCAGATCATTTCCGAGCAATTCGAGGCAAAGGGCGAAATGGTTGCCCAGGATATTACAGGGCACGTCAGTCTTCAATTGCAAATTCATTTCCAAGCACATCAGTTTAGATTCTGCATTTTAGACCTCATTCTAGGAATCTCTCTCAGTATTTGTGGCCCAAATTTGCTAGCTGCAAGTTGTGTGAACTGAACTATCTGAAATATTGAATACTGATACCAGTATGAAAAAAAACTCATTAAAAACAGTGACAAACTGAAAAGACAATTTTCTGTGAATATATAGAATTTAGTCATTGTACGAAATGGCCCTCACAATCATTATAAAAATCTCAAGCATATGTTGCGGTTAAAAACAACAACACTTAATTAGCTAATCGTTCATTACCTCCTCAGAGGGGCTTTTTCCTCCTCAGAGAAAGATTTTTCACATTATGCTAATTTACAGTAGCTTGATGACAGAATACTGACATGGCCATATGTGCAGCACAATTTAATAAGCAACTTGAGTGCTTTAAATAATCAAAACTAAATGAACTAAATATCAGGAAAATATTTTAACTTGTTTTTCAGATAGACACTTTTTGGGAAAGTATGCTATCATTTGTCATACACTACTATCATATATTGTTCACAAAAATGTTTCACAAACAAAAATGTTTAAAAGATGTTTATTGAACAGTTGTCTAGAGTACTTAATTTGATTTTTTTCCCCACATACTGACCTCTAAACTTTATACTTGACCGTTGCCCAAGCAACCAATCTCTTACACAATGCTCATATCATGTCTCTTGGATCGCTCAATGCTCTCTTTCTATTAACATGATAATAATCTAAATTTAAAGCACTATTTAATGTACATTGATTTACTTGCTAGCCATGTAATAAGCGGTATAATGTACAGTTAGTCAGTCATTATCATAAAATAAAAGTCTTCAAGATGACTAACTATACATTATAACTTACCTAGAATCAAAGATCGTTTTTCTAATTTAATCGGGAAGACATCAATCAACACTGCAGCTATAATTTCCAAAACTCTCTTGACGTCACAACAACTCATGTATTCGTTTTGACTATCACAAGCACAATTCAACCACTTTGCCTAAGAATCTATAACAAAGGTTAAGACTTTCAGCTCCTGTACACAGGTTTAGTGCATCTATTGCCAAACAAGTGAACAGACAAATCGCCCCTCCACTATATATCTGATGCACTTCACCAGGAATACTTTGAAAGTGCATTTGTAAGGCTCTGTCTACTGATCCTCTGAGGACTCGATACAGATAGCTCAAAGGCAAGTCTACTTCTGGTATCAACAAACATACTTCAATCATCAGAGAAAGAGAAGAAGAAAGTGATTTGCACCTTGAGCTGTGTGTGCGCGTGTTTGTGTGCGTGACTGGCAGGCATGTCTATGCTTGCTGCTTAGCGATCTGATCAGCACTAGACTGAGCTCCAAGGGGCTCCGCTTTCAGCACAAGACAGTTGTGCCTGTCTTTACTCTAGTGAGATGCCAGTGAAGCATATCTACAAAGTACA